ATATATATATAAAATATATGAACAAATGTTTTTATCTATGTTACAATTCTTCAACATCGATAGATTCGATTTCGGAAGCGACGTTCGGAAATGGAACGAAGTAAAAAAAGAAGTGTAGGATCACGTTATATATATTGTGCTCTTACAGAATTCGTGCGCAATAAGTCATTTATGACTTGATGTCATTTATATGATATTTTTAATGAAATTTTAGAGTTTATTACTCGCAGTAAATTAATAGTAACTAGGTAAAATTAAATATTCCGTTCATGAATATAATTTTTGCTCAGCGTACATCAACGATATATTCAACTCGTATAATTTTCTTAATGATCAGAATTCTTCAATGAAGCAAGATTATATATAAAAAATATATAATGAACTGATCACTTAAAGTCACAATATAATTACATTGTTCCTAGTTTCTCGTCTATCTTCATCTTTTTCTATGACTTCCTATTAGGACATAATGCCTCTTTCAACTTTTATCAGGGGAGCCTATCTCCCATCTTGGACGTGTTCACGAATGTAACGTGGCGCTTCTATTCTTAATCACTCAGAATCAAAATTAAAATCGATCATGTGACGTGAATTGAATATTGCTAGCTTTGATCAGTGGGATAGTAAGTACCTAAGTGTTACTGAACGACGAATAAATCCTTTGAAAGGATAAATACGTATACATATGTATTAGTTGTAAATCTGACTGATAACGTAAATACAACATATTTTGATCCTTTGTAATTTTTTAAATTTTTGATTATGTTGTAAATTATGTTGAAGATGGCTCAAGTCTAGTCCGAAATGTTCAACTTATATTTTATTTATTAATTAAAAATGTGATTTGTTAATTTGCGTACTATTGCTCCTTTATTGCGTGACTCCTATAATTCATTTTTTATTGCATATTTATTAATCTATATATACTAATTATATCATTAATAGTAGTGTACTAATCTTACGTCTTCAAGGCGCTGAAGTTTATTGAAAAAGTATACTAAAATATTCATGAAAAGTTGGACTGAATTCAATCAAGATCGAGGTGTTAATCTCTCTGCAAATTGAGCAGGATAGATTGCATGTATTACATTTATATGTCTTATTGCTTGAATATTATCAATATGTTTAAGTTGCGATGCACTCATATATTTCTGAATTATATGCATGAAAATATAATATTTTAATATATAAATACAAATATTTTAAATATACACAGTGTGACAAATATGTTCCCGGACATGAACCACACTCAGCAACCAGTGGCGACATCTGTGCGTTCAAACATGCATTTTAAAGGTTGAACATTTCCCTATCATCTGTCAAAGTTTCATTCATTTTAGTTGACATGTAACGAAGATATGACAGTTCATGTTAAACAAGATTTTGGTCGAGGTAGAAATTTTAATATGGAACAAAGAGCAATGATTAAATTTAACGCAAAACTTGGTAAAAGTGCATCAGAAACATTCCGATTGATGCAACAAGTTTACGGCAGTCATTGTCTAGGTCATACAACTGTTTTTGAGTGGCATAAGCGTTTTTTGGAAGGCAGAGAGACCCTTGAAGATAACAAAAAATCAAGACGGCCAATTTTGGTTCGAACACCTGAAATCGAAAAAGTACGTGATTTTGTTGCAAACGATCGCAATGCATCACTAAAAATGATGGAGGAGGTTAAATATCAATAGAGAAACGATTCGAACCATATTATATGAAGATTTGGATAAAACGAAGGTTTGTGCGAAGTTTGTTCCACATACATTAAGAAGTGTGTGGAATGAGAATCAATCATTCCAGAAACATCGTTGCAGCCGCAGAAAATAATCCAAACTTCCTAAAATCAATTGTTACGGGTGATGAAACATGGTGCTGATCCAGAAACTAAGCATCAAAGTGCGGAATGGAAATCAAAAAATTCACCACAAGCAAAAAAAGTACGAAAAATTCCATCAAAAATCAAGACAATGCTCATCACATTCTTTGATAGCAAAGGTATTATCCACAAAGAGTTTGTTCCAACTGACAATTACTGGTGCATATTATCTCGAAGTTTTAAAGCAATTGATGGGCAGAATTCGTCGTATTCGCCTCAAATATCGTGATCCAGAAGATCTTTGTTGCATAATAATGCACTGAGTCACACTTCATTGATTGTTCGTCAATTTTTTACTCGAAATCGTGTCTCTGTGTTAAACTATTCACCGTATTCACCTGATTTGGCCCTCTGCGACTTCTCATTATTCCCAAAATTGAAATTGAAATTGAAAGGACGCTTTTTTGATGACATTTCGACTATTCAATCAGCTTCTACACAGGCACTAGAGGCAATTCCGCAAACTGAGCTAGAACATGCATTTGAATCGCTGTATTGAATAACAAGTGTATTGAAGCCAGAGGAGAATATTTTGAATAAAACCAAAAAATATGCATATTTGTTGTTTTAATTATGATTTTCAGGCCCTGTCCGGCAACATATTTGTCGCACTGTGTAGATATTTTTTTAGATAATATATTGGGTTGTTCGGAAAGTTTGTGCCGCAAAAGATTTAAATTTAATAAATGAAATTAAAAATTTAAATTTCTGCGTTTCAATTTTCCTTCAAAATCGGCACGAACTTTCCGGACAACCCAATACTTCATAGTTTATCTTGCTTCTTATTAGTACAGTTGTTAATGTGATACTGTGCCTAAATAACATTCCCTGATAGCATCGTGTCTGACAAACTGTCACTACGATGTTACTTCTTAGCTTGTGATGTCTGTGTAGACAGAATTTGTTTAGTAATTATGTACTGTGCGTATTAAAAAGTTCTAAAAACTCTCTTCTTTTATAATGCATGCCTAAAAGAAATAACATGCTTTATTGTATTGTATATGCATGTCTATAATTAAATAAAATGCTCATTTTATGTTCTCATTCTAATTTTATCTTTTAAAATGTAATAGGGACATGATATGAGACAAAATAGAAGGCTTTAGCTTTGATGCTGTATAAAATGATAGAGAAGCATGCTTACACGTGTTTACGAGAAGTTTTTTCTGATATTCCATACATACGAACTTTACAATTGATGCTTCAAAAGATACCTTTAGCCCTGGATTTGAACTCTTTGATTTTGTGATTTGAAGAACATTGTCTCGAAAAATATTAAATAAAGGCTGCGTTCCAAGCTCTTAACTCTTGCAATATGCACGAGCATTTGTTCTTATTTAACATTTGATAAACAAGAATGAAATGATTCCTCAAGCGTTGTGAGCGTTAAATGGAACGCAGTCAAAGTATGCATACTAATGAGATTTCAATTCAATTAAATGTTACATATGATCGAAAGGATACCATATGTAGCTTTGAAGATTGGGGCAATAAGCGTATTAATAAATTTGTAGATCACGTATTGGTTTTTATGCTGCGTGGATTAAACACGGACTGGGGAAGCTTATCTCTTTTGCGCCAAAATGACAAACGTACAATTAATATGCATTAAAGAACACGTGCATACACGAAGCAGGCTTCCATATCGTAGCGACT